AAGGCACTGAAAATTTGGGCACTGATAATTTGGGAACCCGGGAATGTAAGCACCCGCTAATTTAGACACCAGGAAATTTAGTCACCTGGAAGTTTAGTCACCGGTAAATTTGGCACTTTTTGACAAGGTGGAAAATCAGGGCTTTTGGTGTCGTTATAAAAAAATACCAACTATAACAATTTTAACTGCATTTTCATGATACAAAAGAAAATCGTGACAAAATGGAAAAATGACAATCATGAGAATGCGTGGAAAGATGGTTTTGGATTAAGAGTCGTTATATAATATAGACATCAAAGGATTCAGGGGAGGGGAGATGCCTAAATTTCCGGTTGCCTAATTATCTGGCGCCTAAATTTTCTAGATTCATATACAGTTGGACCACACACATACAACTGGCCTAAAATACATACAGTTGGCCTACATTCTAAAAGCAAGTCTCATAATAAAATGCTCACCCTCAAACTAAACAAAAACGCTCTTCACAGCAGCTCACTTTGAAGGACTCCCTCATACTAAGAATGTTCTTTTCATTGAAAAGTCCCCTATAAACTCTATGGTCCATTAGCATCAAACAGTGATACAGCTCTATATAAAAGCATAGCGCTCAAGGTAACACACCTCTATCCCCAGTTACACAGGTGGAGAGTATATTTAGCGATGTACTCTTTCTTCGTATTTCAACCCTGTCCGTTCAGTTGTACGCTTCAGGTCGTCTGCTATTCAAGTTAGTCGAAGAAGTTGTAGTTTATACGCTGCAAAAAAAAAGTCATTTAAGTTTTGAGAGAAGTAATGTTTCTGTATTAATATGCCGTTTCGTTGATCTGTATTATTTCTGAAATATTGGCGATTGTGAGTCACCGTAATAAATTATTACTTACGGAAGCTCAAGCTGGCCAAGTTTTTAATTTTCAGTTTAGATCCACTTCACTTATTATAATTTTGAAGAGGTGTTTGATGCAAATAGCAGTGGCTGAGTGGTCAAACGATTGGCTACCGAACCTGCGGAACGTTCCAAACATGTTTCAAACAACACACGTCGACAGACTTAGAGAGTATGAAGTAATATGGGTTGAAAGAGGAAGGGGGAGGTGACGCTACTCTTATTGTCCCACCCGCATGACCACACTCACATCACGTGATCCTGTCACAATGATGACAGTTTTCGGTCATAATTCATGTCACCAAACGGACAAGAAGAAGACTCCCTGCGTAAGACACTCGAACGCAAGACCTAGCTTCCCTCCACCCACGCCATTTAATTCTGTAATGAAAGTTTTTTGTTCACTTCGGGTTTTAACTTCAACCCTACAAGCTTTGAAATTTCCCTGGGATTTATCTTGTCGAATGTTTTATGTATGTTTCTGTTTCCGTGATATAATGTTTTGATCGTTGTTTCACTGGGTGCATGTGTTTCATGGTAACACAGATTATGAAAATGTTTGACTCGTTGGCTTAGTAAGTAAAAGTATACGAGATCTAACTACTAATGTCACACTCTGAATACAAACATGTTGACAGACCAATAGTTATATGACTGTTATAGATGAACGAGTGCGTTAAATGGTAACCTAAAAAATATTGTCACGCTCGACTGCACATTCAGTCCAGTTAAATAGTTAACACTATAGGCCAGATTAGAAAGAATAAGAAAAATATTTTTAAAAAATACATTCTAAAAAACAAAGGCTTCTGTAAAATAAAATTAAGAACCGCACAATTAAGGCCATATATCTCAAACTGCAAGATTTATCTCCCTTTTCTATATAAAAACCACAATTAATTAATTAATTACCACTAATTAATTTACTAATTGGTTATTTATTTCATTAAATAATGTGTTGTCATTAACAAAATGTAAATTTTTAACTTGTTCCAAGAATGTGAATAGGGAGAAATGAAGTGTTCCAAGGCAGTGTAAAGACAGACAAACAGACAGCATGAATTGATATAAGCTTTGTAATAAGCGTTGCAAAAATGTACGTTCTTCTAGATGTCCGGCGAAGCTTTAAGTTAAAAACATATTTCTTGACCTGTTATTGGCCAGTGGCCAGTAGAGAAAACTATAACTCAAAGAAAGGGGTAAGAATTATAATGGTTTAGGAAAAGATCTTTTTAAAACACAATAAAAGAAAAACCGAGCCGATATCCGAGTGGTCTTGTTGATCACTTCATACAGACTGATACAGTCAGTCAAGCTATCATATATTATCTTATCTTATCTTATAATTTAGAGACGTTCCTTCATAAGAGAAGTTATATACGTAAAAAAGTAAAGTATTAATATTTTTAGACCTTGCGTTCTATAGGGCAGATGATGTAAAAGTCATCTGAGTCCACCCAGCTCTAATGGGCAACTGACAATAGTCGCGAAAAGTAAAGGCGGTTGGTCGTTGTGCTGGCCACATGACACTCTCGTTAACCGTAGGCTACAGAAACAGATGACCTTTACATCATCTGCCCTATAGACCACAAGGTCTGAAAGGGAAAATTTACTTGTGTATGTGCGTGCATGGTGTGATAGTAAAGTCTTTATGTTTCTTAATTTAGCCCACTCACGGAAACTAACTGAAGAGACTCAAACTCATTATTAAGCAACTAACTTTATTAATAAACAACAAGCCTTAAAGAGATCTTCATTGTAGGTCTATATGTTCCTAACACACTCTACCACCAATGCCTTTGCCCATTCTCTTCATCTGTTGAATCGTTGGGGCACCACAAATGATCTGTCGACTGTCTTTCTCCATTTCTCTCTTCCTTTTGGCTTGAATAGATTCTCTTTAAATGACAGGCCCGTCAATTCTTTAATGTTATATTCCCATCAATTCCACTTTCTGCCTCTTCTTCTTTTTTCTGATACTGTTCCCTGAAGGAAGGTTTTTGTAAACCCCGAGGACCTTGTGATATAATCATAACATTTTTTCTCAGACAATTATAAAAAAAAAAAAAGTAACAGTCTAAAAACACTACGCTGTCAACAGCTCCATTAATATATCCTGTCGGTCTGTCAGTATAGCCTGTCGGTCTGTCAGTATAGCCTGTCGGTCTGTCAGTATAGCCTGTCGGTCTGTCAGTATAGCCTGTCGGTCTGTCATGAATGGTACCTTCCCCCCCCCCCCCCCCCCCTTGTTACAGGTCACTCAAGTTACACAGCATACACACCTGTACGTCTGTCATCAATACTGCTACACGTGAATGGGGCGATATTTTAACAGACTAATCAAACCTGAGTATCTTTTTAAAATGTGCCTTAGACTGGGGGGTAGAAGAAGAAAAAAAAAGGAGGGGGATCCGACTGAAGGTGTCAAAGACTAAGAAACAGCCCAGAGAGTTCTGGGAGAAGGTTGGAGGACACCTCCATCTCTCCTGTAAAACTGCTGTTAAACTTAATTACCAATGTCATATACTGTAATGCTGTAAAGCTTTGTTCGGAAACAATTCATAGACCATGCACTCATTTGATTGTCCTATTGTCCTGCTCTAGACACTAGAAAGTCCTCCCACATATGTTTACATCTCAGACACATAAAGTTCCTCCTATATCCCACATATGTTTACATCTCAGACACATAAAGTTCCTCCTATATCCCACATATGTTTACATCTCAGACACATAAAGTTCCTCCTATATCCCACATATGTTTACATCTCAGACACATAAAGTTCCTCCTATATCCCACATATGTTTACATCTCAGACACATAAAGTTCCTCCTATATCCCACATATGTTTACATCTCAGACACATAAAGTTCCTCCTATATCCCACATATGTTTACATCTCAGACACATAAAGTTCCTCCTATATCCCACATATGTTTACATCTCAGACACATAAAGTTCCTCCTATATCCCACAGATGTTTACATCTCAGACACATAAAGTTCCTCCTATATCCCACATATGTTTACATCTCAGACACATAAAGTTCCTCCTATATCCCACAGATGTTTACATCTCAGACACATAAAGTTCCTCCTATATCCCACAGATGTTTACATCTCAGACACATAAAGTTCCTCCTATATCCCACATATGTTTACATCTCAGACACATAAAGTTCCTCCTATATCCCACATATGTTTACATCTCAGACACATAAAGTTCCTCCTATATCCCACATATGTTTACATCTCAGACACATAAAGTTCCTCCTATATCCCACAGATGTTTACATCTCAGACACATAAAGTTCCTCCTATATCCCACATATGTTTACATCTCAGACACATAAAGTTCCTCCTATATCCCACAGATGTTTAATATTTTAACGTTTTAAATTGCTTTGTACATAGCGTTATTTTTTTTTCCCAATGTAACTCATTACGTTACATAGCTCTCATGCTGTTATATCATTGAATTATTTTTTTTTTTTTCTTTTACTTTGTTGTTTTTTTTAAAAAGGAAACCTTAGAATTTGCGCTATTTAATTTTAGCTTTATCATCATAGGAATCCTTGGGCCTTAGGCCTCTTTTCTTTGCCTCTTTTTTGGGCTTAATATGCCTCTTGTATGGGCTTAATATGCCTCTTGTATGGGCTTAATGTGCCTCTTGTATGGGCTTAATATGCCTCTTGTATGGGCTTAATGTGCCTCTTGTATGGGCTTTTTTTTTTTTCCAATATGTTTTTATTTGTAAGTTCTCATAATTCACAAGTATTAAATCATAAACAATTGAAAAGTGATTAACCTAAAAATACAACAATAGTAACAGAAACATTATTGAATATCAAAGACATACTACCTAACCATCCTAGCCATTGAATCCATAGAAGACAGAACAATGATACAAGTATCATTGAATTATTATTATTTATTTTTTTTTTCTGAGAAAAGAAAAATGTTTAATTCCTTTGGCAGCAACCATACAGGACCATCAGTACTGGTACAAACAACACAAAAAATTATCTTTTTTTTTTTTTTTTTTTCAAATAGAAAAACAAAATTTAATAAAATACTCTGAAAGACACAAAGATAAAGGCACATTCCTCGTCCCCTATGCTAGGACAAATGTGTACAAATACTCCTTCTTCCCTAGTGCTATTAGGGCATGGAATGGGTTGCCTGAGCTAGCCAGGAAAACCAGTGACTTGGCCGAATTTAAGTCATTGATTAATATGCATGTCTAAATGCATGACGCGTAGGACGTAATCATCTTCTTTTATGAAGTAACGTCTGTATTATATATGATATTAAGCATGTGTAATCATCAGAGGCTGGTTTCTGGACAGTGTTCAACATCTGCGATCCAGAAACCTTCTTTTATGCTCTCCGTGTGGGGCCCACCGTATGCTCTCCGTGTGAGGCCAACCCTATGCTCTCCGTGTGGGGCCCACCCTATGCTCTCCGTCTGGAGCCCACACCATGCTATCCTCTGATAAAACAGAAATAGCATCTCAACTGATTCACAATTTGATGGACACCGAGCGACATGTTGTCAATATAAGTATCTATCTTATATCTTACAAGATACAGACGTTACTTCAAAAAATTGTATCAATGAAAAGTAAATAAATGTATCAATAATAAGGCTTTTCTGATGAGCGCAGTATTTCGCTTGGATGTTCAGCCTCAGCTGCGACCTATATATTTTGCCACATTATCATTTGAATTAATTTTGAAACATGTAAATGATTTTACTACAAATTTAATTTCCTGTCAATTTATAATAATTTTTGATGAATTTAAACTAGCTCTAATACGTCAATATATTAAACGAATAGCAGTTAAAGAAAAAAAATCCAAACATAATCGAATCTAGTAGAATACTTTCGTATTGTTTAATTATTTGTTAATACAATTATTACTATTCTTTTTGTTCTTATTATTTAAAATCAAATACGTCAGCATTTAATGAAACAGTCTAGTGACAGCTGAAGAGTTACCTTTCCTTAGATTTCCTTCACATTTATCTATAAATATAAATGGTTGAAGCTAAGCATAAACGCGCGTACAGCATATGATATATATATATATATATAATAAGGCTTGTCTTCGTGTCCGAAGATTAGTGAGGAATACAGTATTTCCCGTGGCTGCGCAGCCCCAGCTGTGACCTACATATTTTGCCACATCCAGGGCAAGCATAACCATTGTCCGCAGGTGGTCGATTTAAATTTTCTTTTCGTCGTCTGCGTAGTCCTCGGCAGCAGATTTTCTTTTGGTCTCAAATGTGTATTCCGAGGCCTTCGTGAGTGACCTCCAGCTGTCTCGTTCCGACGCCGCATGCAGCCAGGTGCTCTCTTCTATGTCAGCCAAGGAAAGTTGACGCCTAAGCTGGTCTTTGAAGCGTTTCCGTTATTGTATCTGTCATTTAAAAACATATTGTATCTGGCATTTAACAACATATTATATCAGGTATTTACCAACATATTATAGGTAGCATTTACCAACATATTATATCTGGCATTCACCAACATATTATATCTGGCATTTACCAACATACTATATCTGGTGTTCACCAACATATTATATCTGGCATTTTACAACATATTGTATCTGGCATTTCACAACATATTATATCTGGCATTTTACAACATATTGTATCTGGCATTTACCAACATATTGTATCTGGCATTTTACAACATATTGTATCTGGCATTTATAAAGAGAAATATCCAATTAACTGGCGACACAATTCTTAAGTTAAGCTGCTGTAAAATAGTTAGACTAATGTTCATTCTGTCTGTCTAGTAGATGACCTTGACAAATCATCAGTATGAAAACATTTTGCGACTATTTCTTTCCAGAGCGACTGGCAAGATGGTGAAGCTTTGGCCAACCTTGTCCGCTCAGCTGGTGGTCAAGTGAATGTCCAGTCGGATGAACCAGGGAAACCGCTAGCAGTCATTAAAAAAGGTAAATGTTACAAGCTTATGAAAATCATAGAAACACATTATCACATTTTACACCACCTTCACTTGTACCATAATCTGATAAACCCTTGGGGTACCACACATGATCTGTCGTCCGTCTTCCTCCATTCCGTTCGTTTCCCTTGGATTGAATCTCTTTTAATGACAGGCCCGTCCATTCTTTTATGTTTTCTCCCCCATCGCTTTCAATGTCTGCCTTATCATCTTTGTCCTGGTTCTGTAATCTTTTGGACTATTAAGACACGATACATGACCTGTTGACCATCTCTCCGTTCCTCTCTGTCTTGCCAGGATTAGAGTCTCTTTCATTGACAGACTATTCCTAAATGTTGTCTTCCTTCACTTCTTTTGTCTGCTTCTCTTTCTTTTCCTTAAAACTGTTACATGCTGCCATATTGTCACGTGATGTACACGCCATGGTCTCAAGAGATGTGTTAACAGACGAGTTTATTTAGGCCTACACATTGTTTTTTTAAAGCCTCAATTAGGTATTGTTTTTTTTTTAACACAGATGATTTAGAATGAAAAGGAGTTACTTAGAAATGAAAATTTATTAAGTTTTCTTTTGTTCAAGATGTTTATTTTTTGCAAGATTAAGAGGGTAGATAAGCGTGTATCGGGGTTCCTTCAGTAAATAAGTTTCAAGCTCCACGTCAAATACTTTTGGAAACTATATTGAAATTAAGCTACAGTGTGTGTTAATAGTGTGTGTTTTAGTATATCACTTGTTAATAGTGTGTGTTTAATATTTTCGTGATTTCTCATAGGAGAATTAACGTGTTTTATTTCGCAATTATCTCCGGCATTGGAATGGAATTTGGGTCATCGGATTTATACCTTCGATCAAACTATTGAAAATAATAAGCACTCCCCAAACAACCACATTCGAAACACATACACAAATATTTTCACATACCAAACACATAGATCATACAACTCATACACAACGTGTAATGGCGTGAAAACTGTACAGTACACTTCCAGAAATAGATTGTATATTTGTATTTTGCCTGAACGGACCCATATCGAAACCGCGCTAACTCAATGTGGGTTATCACCGGGTAAGTACATTCATTCATAGTTAATCTTTTTGATTCTAAACCGCATGCAATGCCTTTTTGGCGGTTAGAGGAATGCCGTCTTGCAAGTCTACCAGACACCTATCCAAACGTCATGTCTTGAAATGGCACTAACAAAGGGGAATAACTGGCGCGCATAGACACACATAGACATAGACACTACTATTAATATTATATACCGTACTTGGTCTACTGTCGGAGAAACCTAACCATTTAGGAAATATATAAAAACTACCGATACATGTTGAATACGTCATAAGATATATATTTGCCACAAATTTTATCATCGGCAAATAAAATCTTTGTTTTGAATACCAGGCATAGACATAAATAAATATAGACTGGCCGAAGGAAGTAACTTCATGTAACTTGAAAACATGTATAGCTATTGTATTCGGATTTCCAAATTATGAGAAAATGGCATGATCTTCATTCTTAGACATTAAACAAAACTACACTGCCTCCTTATTTACAATATATATAGGTGTGTGGCTGAAATAGATATGAATACTAACTTTTATACTGCTCATAAATGCTGTATAATAAAGTACACAAAATTGCAAGTCACAAAGTTTCGTTTTATAAAACTCTTTAATCGGCCAGACTATATTTATTTATGTCTATGATACCAGGTGTAAAGATCTAAGTTCATCTAACTACCGAAAGTTTTCTATTGCCTCTTTGTAGCTCCTGGGGAAAAAATACGGCGTTTTGTCGGAGAATGAAGCTAATGAACGAGAATAATGAGAACGACATTAGGAGAAATACTCACATATCTTTTAAATGTAATTTTATTAATATATTTATTGTAATTAGGATTAGTTTGAAGATCTCACGGGATTTAGGAAAGTTACGTGGCTAGTGCTTAGGAATACTGCTGATGTGCTAAATAACAATAACAATCATATACTATGCTAATAAAGGTGAGGGAATGTGTTTGTATAACATATTAAAATATTATATTTACATCAAATCCAAGAACTAAAAAGGACTGTTATAAATTGATTGATTACACGAGTAGTTACTGAGCCCAAACACAACACACTAAGCACATAACACAAACTAAAGAACACACACTAGAGCCCTTCAATTCAACTGAAAACAATAGTAATTATAATTGATCAAATCCTCGTCTCTTATCGCCAAAATAACAATACACAACAATAAAATACAGGGCCGGATTTAAGTATGTGGAGGCCCAGGGAAAAGATTTTTGTGGAGCCGTAAATCAGAAGCTGTACTGGTATTTATATATTCCAAGCATGTACAACTACAAGCGGACACTTCTTCATCACGACATTGTTGCCACCCGACGTTAGATTTAACGTGTTGGCGTTAAAAATGAGAGGAAAAAGTATTTAAAAGTATCTCACCTGTCGAAATCTTGAAATATTTTTCTCTTTTGTGGAGGCCCCATTCTGGTGGATCCCCTGGACTGTATCCCGCCTGCCCTCCCTTAAATCCGGCCCTGATAACATCACAAACAGCTGCTTCCTCATCGAGCATTCTCTTCTAGTTTTTACTTCTGGTCCTGTTTCCCTGACCACATGAATAGCAGCCTGGTCGTACGCGCTGGACTGTCGTTCGGTCGTCTCGTGTTCATATACTGCCCCCCCCCCCATCCCCCGTTGTCCTTCGACAGGTTTGGACTGGGATGTAAGTTATCTTTAACTCTGGAGAAACATCCGAAACACTGAAGCTTTTGGCCAATAGTTGCATCCCGTGACCTTTCAAGATCAATTCTATGATGTATGGGCCTATTCACTAATGTAAAAAAAAAATATAGACTTTAAAAAGATAGACTCACTTAGAAGAGCGCTAAAAACTTTGCGAGATATTTTTTCTTCTACTTTGATTCTTCAAAATGTCAATTAAAAAAAATCTTTTTTTTTGTTTCTATAAGGGGGCCTATTGTGCCGAACAGAGGTCCTGGTTTCGAATCCCCCCAGGTGAGCTGTTCTGCCTCATCGTGGCACCTGGGTGGAAACGGCTACTTGAGGAGGTAGCTAGGCGAAATGAATGGCGAAACATAACCCCCGTGGGGATGCCCACGGGTGGACGAGAGTTTACCCCTTGTACAGGCGGGGTTGCAAAAAAGTCCCCACAAACATGTCCCACATCCATGCGCCGTTCCTCAAAGGACATTACATAAATGGCGAGTCCCCCACGGCTAGCTTGGTATAACGAAGGAAAATGACGGAGGCTCCCGATGTCCTAGGGCTTCGGCCATGAGAGGCGAGTCATGCGTCGGAACCAAAGGCATCGGAAACAGCAATGTTTTACATAGGCATTGACTTGGGTCGCTCTCAAACAGAACTGTGCGTTCACACAGGTTTTTTTTTTTACTGTTCTGGCTGGACGACCAAGCAGGTTTTTTTTCAAACTTAGAGCTCGAAGAGCCTTCGGTTCAGCTCTTACGGACCTCAAACGGTTTCGAATCCTGGTGAAGACTGCGATTTTAAATTTCGGGATCTTCGGGCGCCTCTGAATCCACCCAACTTTAATGGGTACCTGACATAAGTTGGGGAAAAATTAAAGGCGGTTGGTCGTTGTGCTGGCCACATGACACCCTCGTTAACCGTAGGCCACAGAAACGGATGCCCTTTACATCATCTGCCCTATAGACCACAAGGTCTGAAAAGAGAACTTTAATTAACTTATATAGGGGGGCCTAAATATTTTATATATTCTTGTTTGTTTGCGTGATATAAACTAATAATAAAGTTTTATAAAGATATCTCAATAAATAGTAGATCGCAGGGTACTTATCATAAATTGTTCGATCTTGTGTTTTTTTTTTGTTTTTTTTTGGTTTTTAAATATTTTGAATATTTATTATATATTTTAACTACTGATCCACAGCTGTGGAGGCTGGGAAAGAGCTTGGAGTTGATCCTTTACTGAGTGCAGAAGACATTGCTTCAGACTCCCCGGAACACCTCGGGATGATGGCGTACGGCGCTCAGTATCTGCGACAGCCGAATGTCGTAACATACAGCAACCACGCCAACGAGACGGTTGTCATCGTGAACAGGAAACAGGACTCGGCAGCGGACCACAATGGTCATCTGAATGACCACAATGAGATCATCAGCAGATTGCACACACACAACAAGGACCACAGTGGATATAATAACAATAATGACAGTTTCAAGGATAAAAACCATGCGCCAGAAATGAAACCACTGAAGGTATGAGTTCCATTCTAAATCTGTCTGAGGTGTTTTGTTAGATCTTGTGCTTGGCAGCTGTGTTTGTCAGCTCTGCATCTATACTTTGACTAGATTAATTTTTTAGACTACCATGCCTAGACAGGCCCTAGACAGGGCCGGCTTTAGGCATAGGCGAACTAGGCAGCCTACCAGGGCCTCCGGTTAGTGGGCCCTTGCACAGGACTCAAAGAAATTTTTTTTAGAATAAATTGCGAAACATGGATCAAATCTCAAACTTAGCAGAAGAACTATATGGCTCTGTCTACTCGCCAAGCTAAGTCTCTAATATGATTCAAGGTTAATACGCAAATGTTTAGATCTACTTGTTAGACTACAGATGTCAGAAGACCTTTTGTTTCTTCCTTTTGTTGAAATGTCGAAAAACGTTATTTCTTGTCTGGTGATCATGAATCGTCCATGAAGCACATCTGTGTTATCAGTGCTATAGAAATTTAACTTATTTGTTGATCTAGATAAAGATACAGGACGAATTATAATTCATTGCAGATTTTTTCGGACTTAAATTTTTTTTTTCCATTTCATTTGGGGCCACCCTATCCACTTCGCCTAGGACCTTCAATTACCTAAGGTCGGCGCTGGCCTAGATGAGTTTCCGATATTCCATTATATAATCTTATTACAGAGTACAAAAGAAAACTGCAATTATTTTGGCTATTGAGTTTGGAACCTTTTTAAAATAAATAATCTTATTTTTAAAATGTATTTAGATTTGTACAACTCTGTCTGTCTGTCTGTCTGGTAACAAGTTGGTCACGTTATTTATCAGATGCACTATCTCGGATTAAGCAGAAATTTTACACAATTATTTCTTTTCCCTAACAACACAAGAATCAATTTTTAAAAATTAACAAGTAGCAATTAATTATTTAATGTATTAAATATTTTGTTTTTATGTGTAAAAAGTGAAAGAAATCGTAATTAACAGTTGTATCTGTATAAGTTGAGTTAGTCCCCCTGCGGACTCTTGAGCCCTGAGTAAACATTTTCTTTATGCATTTAAAAAAGGAACATGTAAACATTCACCAAGATACCTCCTTCTTCCTACCCCCTTTCACAATTGGCCCAGACAAGTGATAGGATCATAGCGCATTGAGAAAGCTAAAACCTAAACAAAAAATTGGTAAAAATATTTCAAATCGCAGATTTATTATGTTTGGTCAATCGTACGTATAATTGCATGACAGATCCAAACTAATTGATACAATTATACTTATTGTTTAACCTTGGTTAGGCCAATAATATAATATGCATTCTCGGTTTCAGACCCTTCGAAACAAGAAAACATTAAGAAACTGGAACAGACACAAAATAGAGCAGTGAAATTCATAACAAACGAATATTCACATTTGACTAGTGTAACACCTTTAGTAAAATCACTAAATTTAGAAAGCCTTCAGGACAGAAGACTCAAAAGTAAAGTAGCAATTATACATAAAACACTGAACCATAATCTTCAAATACAAAAACAAAATCTAATAAAATACTCGGAAAGACACAAAGATAATGGCACATTCCTCGTCCCCTATGCTAGGACAAATTTGTACAAATTCTCCATCTTCCCTAGTGCTATTAGAGCATGGAATGGGTTGCCTGAGCCAGTCAGGAAAACCAATGACTTGGCAGAATTTAAGTCATTGGTTAACATGCATGACTGAATGCATGACGTGTAGGACGTAATCATCTTCTTTTGTTGAAGTAAGATAAGATAAAATAAGGTACGTAGCCTGCTTCAGCATATTTTTCCATTTAGATCTCTCCTAACCTTTTCATCTCCAAGCCTGAATTCCTGAGTTGTAATAAATCTGCCCCTGAATCATCAGCCCATCGTATAATTCGTGGTCTGCCTTTAGATTGCCTGTCTTCTTTTTTTTTTCCCCAGCATATTATGTTTGTTTCCCTGTTTTTTCTGACATTCTTTTCAGGTGGCCTGCCCAACGTTAAGTTTTTGGTTTTTTTAGCGGCCCCCGAAAGGGGAAAAGACGCTATTAGTTTTGTGTGGCCTGTCTGTCCGTCCGTCTGTCCCGTTTAGATCTTAGAAACTAGAAGAGAAAATAAAAACTGGACATAAGGGATATTTTAGATCAGTGATGCTCAACCTTATTCGGTCGGCGGGCCATTTTAATTTCCGACAGTCGTGTCGCGGGCCACATCAAGAAAATGTTAAATAAAACAAGAAAAAAACGACGGTAACCCATTTTTTATTACGAGCTCCTGAAACTAGTGCTTACCTTACTTCATGAGAGGTTTATTCTAAACCAATGTTTAAATATACCGCTGCATAGATGAGACGCCAAGTTGCTGCACTTCATCTTCAATTTTGGTGTTGGTCCATGAGACGATGATTTCGCATGATTCATCACATCATAATCATTTTATACTTCTGGGACTTTCGGTAGTCATGACCACTAATTTCTCTAATGAAGAGAAAGATCCTCTGTGATGGTTGAAGCTTCTTCGACATGACTTCGTCAGTGGTGGTCCCATGCATGCTCCACAAAGCTACTAACTTCTATGATTTAAAAAACTACTATTTGTACCGCGCATTAGTACAAAAAATTTGCATCTAAGGTCACAATGGTAAAAGTGTCAATGGATCATTATAAAATATATTTTCCAATTATTAAAAAGTTTCCCATTTCAGACCTTGCGATCTATGGGACAGATGATGTTAAGGTCATCTGTTTCTATAACCAACGGTTAACAAGCAGGGTGTTATGTGGCCAACACAACGACCAACCGCCTTTACTTTCCCCAACTAAAGTCAAGTACCATTAGAGTTGGGTGAACTCAGGGGCGCCCTACAAAATCCCGAAGTTCCCAGTCGTCACCGAGATTGGAACCCAGGACCCCTGGTGTTTATCTGCATACTGTTAGCATACGATTAGAAGTTTGGGACGAAAAGCTATTTGTTTCATAAAAAAAGGGTAAAATTTTGGATTAGCGACAGTGACTATTAAAAACAAGACTAGGACTTGAAGTGTTAGGAAAGTAAACACAAAATAACTTTTTTTTTAGAGAGAGGTCGGCCTTAGTTTCTGTCTTAAGTAAAGTAGATATTTAGCTTAACGACATTCGACGGTTCCTGTCATTTCGTATTAGTTAATCATTTTTCGACATCGTTCATCAGCGTCGAGTATCTTTGTATTGTAATGGTTGGCCTTTCGCCTGTGTATTCTTTGGACTTGGTTGTTAGAGTTTTAATCTTACGTCCGATTATCCAGACACTGACACAGTCATAAGTCATGACTAGAGAGTAGAGTAGTGTCACTTAGTGTGATAGAACTAAGTAATAGTCTATTATAATACTTTAATAGATCTATTAATATAATTATCTAAACTCATGGTTAGTGCGCGTGACATAATGTTATCAGTAATATCAGGTCAAAGAAATGAAGGTCACAAATAATGCAACGTCATCAATATTTCATAAACCTCCAGAGAATCATCACTTGAACTTGAACAAATTTGACTCAACTGAAATTTCCATTTTTTAAAAAATTTACTTCTCAGCAAAAAACACTGTAGAATGAAACATATCAAAATATTGAAGTAATATTGTATTGAATTACCCTCCATAGATAACGACATTCAGAGAAGATGATGAATTCATTTCATCGCATGTCGCCAAACTGGCCTCCCCCGCTGCCCCGCCACAGACCAAAACTTTCCATCTGGTTCGAAAATCTTCATTCCATGCCCCCAGGGTGGAGATGCCCAGTAGTGAGCAGCTCAAAGTGGACATCTACAGCGTCGGAGTCATTATGGAGAGCAGGGTAGGTTTGGCCTTCTGTAATCAATATTGTACATAGCACCCCTCCTCAAATAAAAAAGAAATATACCCTTGAGTTTATGTCAACATTTTTCTCTGCACAGATGAGCGGGCTGTTTGATCCAGAGAGATTTCGGGTGGAAGCCGAAGCCCCCAGCGGGAGAGTAATCCGTATCTCAGGTGACGGCAACTACGCTGCACAGTTTAACGCAGACGAGATCGGCAGATGGAAAGTGGCAATGTACTATGACAACAAGTTCATGGACGGCTGCCCCATCGATGTCTGCGACCCCTCCCAAGTCCGAGTGCATGACCTACATGGCGGACTTGTGGGCAAATCCAACTCTTTCCAGGGTAACTGAAGATTTGACAATAACATTATCATATAAAGAAGCATAACATTATCATCCAAAGAAGGGTAACTTGACTATTTAAAAGAAATGTTATTACATTAGTATAATGTTCTGTCTGGTCAAGTGGTATGCATTTTGGACTGTTGTCTCTATGGTCCTGAGTTTGAAACCAGCCATCCTGTAGGTTTGAACTAGGATGTAACAACATTTATTTTTGAAGGATCATATGAAACTTACTTTAAATATATGTGAAATTTTATAGTTAAAAGGAAGACTGTACTAATTTTAACTTTTCAGAAATCAAATCGACTGTAAACATTTATTAAAGTTTAAGCTTACAGAATTTTTAAAAAATTTGAAGTAAAGTTCTTAATAGCCTATTTGTTAAAATCATTCAATTTTAAATTATATAACGCCTAAACATGCTAAGAATTTTCAAAATAAAAACCAAAGCTAACTTATTACATTGTCTACGCTGGGAGTATTACCCCCATTTACATTATGTAATAAATGTGACTCCATTTTTCTTTTGTTCTCAGTTGATTGTTCTCGTGCTGGCCATGGAGACCTTGGGGTCGACATCACACACCAGGGAAAGAAAATCCTTTCTCACATTTCCCCAACTCAAACACCCGGATATTATAAGGTGACTTTCACCCCGTACTCACCAGGGGCTTATGCAATCAATGTACACTTCAATAGGGCAGAAGTAAGAGGTGAGAAGTTATCTTCTTTTCTATAACTTATGTTGCTGATATATATATAGAGATCAATCTACTTCTATTTCTTAAGAAACTTAAGAACAACACCAGATATCCATTTACAAGAAAAGTGTTTAATATAATTAAGTAAGCATTATGTTTACCAGAGACACGATGAAGTTAGAGCTAGATCTTGTACTAGATACAAGAAAAAAGAACAAAACAATTAAAATGTTAGGAATACTATTACTCCCATAACCCCATAATCACAAGGAGTTTTTCAAAAAGGCTAGAATTAACTGGTAAGGGGGAAATTACTGGTATAGCAGACAGTCAAGATAGTTTTATTTGTTTTATTTATGCTTGTTTCTTTCTTGTGTGAAAGCGATATCTTCCTCCAATCAACAGATTCACTGTCATTCACTGGAAATGTTGTACAGTAAACACTAAACATGTCTTAACATAACTTTCATTATAAGTGTCTCGTTCTCCCATCCTTGTTCCTTCGCCAATTGTGGTGTTGTGACTTATTAAGGCTCTGTTAAATATTGAAGGTTATGTTAAGTGTGATGTTGCCTATCTGTCTTGTAGTTAATTGTTGATGCCTTTTAGATTACGACAGATTACTCTGCAAATGTCTGGGTTTCTTGTGCGGGTGTATTTCAATGTGATTAACTCACAAGCAAACAGACACATCAGTCTTAATTGTGAAGAGACGAATCCAGACACAGTTGAACAGTTTAAATGAAGTTTTAATCCACAAAAGGCCATAGTTATACGTCCTACTCTTATGAAATCCTATCACCAACTGATTTTCTGTCTCTAAGTAGCCTCTAACCCAACTAAGTCAAAGCATCACTAGTCGTGTTCAAAATCCGTTAATTATGGTGTGTCTCAACATAAACTAAAAATACTAAGTATCTAACATAAGACATGTTTAGTGAAGTCCGGTGAATGGCCCGGAAGTGATGTTCTTTATTAGTAACATGAATAAACATACATATATAAATAGGCATAATACAATATTAATAACGATAATATACCACATATACATAGAGCCTACATACATAACTTTGTTTGCTGCTCTAGAACTATATTTGCATGACATCATATTGCATTGCTATACCTCCAAATTAAGCTTATGCTATTTTTTTGCACAAGTTTTAAAATGTAGACTCAGTGTTTTCTTTTTCTATTTTATAATGTAATTCAGAAGGATATCATGAGT